GGTTGATACCAGTGTTAACTACACTGAAGGGGCTATCCTGTAAAAATATAGATGTCTACTCTACTCTACGACTTGTATGTGTGTTCTTTGGCAGCAGTAGATATATTTTTAGTTCCAGTAAACAAAGTCTTATGATTGAAAGTCGGAAATCCAATTTTAGTGAACTATTAGCGTGTGAGCATGAGCAGTTCCTCATCATTGGCCCGGTAGCCAGAGCTTTTTTTCACCTACAAATAAGTTTGATGCTTTGAGCAACGCTAGCCTGCAAAAGGTCTGAAAGTGGTCTGCCAGACTCCTTGCAGACTTCTGGCGTTCTTTCGTTGCTCAAGGCCTTTAACTTACTTGCGGGTAGAGAAACGCTCTTGCTGGCAATGAAATTATACTATTACGTCCAGGAAAACTTGATTTCAAAGGTGGGATAGTGGCGATGATTGATACTAAATCACCGAAAAGCAGAAGAAAATTATCAGTCAGAAAAATGCTGTACACGATTTGGATAAACGGGATCGATTGTTTTTTAACAGCTCGTCCGACCATTGTTACATCCACCCCTACAAGCACCCAAATACCTGGTGATGCAAACGAGCAAGTGGATTTAACTTGTATTGTCAGCCGTAAGCCTCCGCCGACATTGTCATGGAAACGTCAACTTAATGGACAAGATCTGAACTCATTGAACGATAACAAAGTGAAGAGTATCACTAAGGAGAGGGACACCAGTGTGTTGAGGGTTATAGTCACAGCAATAGGAGAACATTTCTATTGTGTGGCTGTAAACCTTCTGGGAAGTAATAGCCAACAATACACCATAAGGAAAAGAGGTAAGTCACTGAAAGATCGTTAGAATGTTGTCTCAAGAACGAAAAAAACAATTGGCGCCTATCAATTCTTTGAGGTTTGTGTAACATTGCAAGGCATTATACGAGGAAAACTACTAAGATCATAAGCAGCTAGTTAAAACATCATTACATGACTGCTGAACACAGGTTGCCAGATAGATGACCTTAAATGGATCTTTTTAAGATATTTGAAAGATCCTCGTTAAATCCTTGGGGGTCTTGAAGGACCCTTGTACAGATCTTGCAAAGATCTTGACGAGGATCCTTTCAAGATCCTGAACAAATCCGTAAGGATCCTTGCAAAGATCTTACTAAGAACTTCGAAAGAGTCCTCCAATAGGATCTTGAGGAATCCTTACATAGCTCTTGCAACGATCTTGACAAGGACCCGTCTAAGATCCTGATCAAATCCTTAAGGATCTTAGAAAAGATCTTGCCAAGATACTTGAACATCTTTGGAAGATCCTTGGTTTGTCCTTGAGGATCTTAAAGGTTCCTTACAAACAACTTTGCTAGGATCTTGGAGGATCTTGGCAAATGA